GGGGGCTTTGGTCGCAGTGACAACCCTTTAGAGGGCAACTCAGCTTCCCTTTCGCTACTTCCCTCCCTGACCCTCTGTCTGAGGGGACTTGGCAGGCCTCCTGTGACCCTGTGTAGCTGCTGTAAAATTAGGTATCCCTCAGGAAGGGAGAGGGCTCACACAGAGCTCCCTCCGCACATGCCCAGAGACCACCGTTTCTCTACCACCACTGTCTTCCCACACCACCACTCAGGTGGCTGTTTTTAAAAAGTAAATTTCTTAAAGGGTCACAGGCCCGGACACTCCATCCTTACCAAACCCCTACCCCAAAGTGGCCTTTCAGCACCAGAATGTCAATTGGCTGGAGATCTCCAGCACCCAAGGGAAGGATTTGGGCAGGGCCTGAGGTTTTGCCGACTGTGATCCTTCCTGCAGGGCCTGGCTCATAAAAAGAGCACAAAAACTGCTTTTGTCCCATAGCTAGGTCATTGCCCAGCAAGTCAAGGTTGAAAATAAAAGAACCAGAAATTTAAGATTTTTGTAAATGAGCTATAACCTGAGCCCTGTCTCTACCCATCTCAGCTTACGCTCCCCTCGCCTTGCCCCTCCCTGTGAAGGTCTCTGCTCTGCCCTCGGAACGCTGCCCTCTTCCTACTTCTTCTAACCACATACCCTTGGTTTTTACACCACTCTAGGAACCCTAAGGACTGACCCTCTCCACCACCTCCACCTATTACCTGGGGCTCAGCCCTACGGTGACTGACACCAGGGGTCAGCACCAAGCCTCTTTACTCACCACCAGGCCGGAAGTCTAGTGAGCCAGCTGGGCGCTGTAGCAGGAATGTTCCCATTCATGGAGTACTCCCAGAGCACAGATCATAGAAGCAGAATGTCTCTAGGGGAACGCAGGAGCCTTAACTCCTGGCCTCTACCCTCCACCCCCACCAAGCAGTTACAGTCTGTCCTGTGCAAGATAGGGGAACTCTTGGCCAGGATGCCTCAAAGCAGGCAAAAATAAGTTGAGAGAAAAAAATCATAAACGTCTGGGGTGTGAAGATGCTGGCATCACTTTGACCAAATCCAAAAAGGTCTGCCTAGAAGAGGGCCCAAACTAGACTCTGAAGAATGTGGTCCATAGGTGGAATAGACTTGTGGATTCTAGGAACAGTGAGAATCCACAGGATAAGAAAACTAAGCAGATGTGAGGGCTAGGGCTGCAGGCTGGACCCCAGGCCTCCTAAGAAAAGAGGCAGGAGTGTAAGCAGTGGCCAGAGCTGAAGAGCTAGAGTGGGTGATGGAGGAGGGAATAACCTGGAGAAATGTTGGAGCCCAGCCTCTGGTAAGTGAGGTGACAGAAGCCGTCCCAGAGTTTGAAATGAAAACTGGGACAAGGGATACAGAAGGCGTCTATAGGGGTGGCATGGAGCCGAGGCATTCCCAAACAGAAGCAGACTCTCCTCAGGCTCGCCCTCACCCTTCCTGGCCGGCCTGGTCTAGCCCCAGCCTCTGGCGGAAGGGCCCTGTTAATTACAGCCTGTCTGTGTCTCAGCCCACGTCCGCACACCCAGCACCAACCGCATGTTTCCTCCTCTCAGTGAGCAAGAGCCTAGGGAAGTGGCAGAGAGTGAATATGGTATAGTCCTGGATTGAGGGATCTTGGGAAAGACCCAGATTCCTTTGACTCCAGACCCTCTCCAGAGATTGGGGAAGGGACTTCAGAGATCCCCATCCTTGCATACCCTTCTCCCTTTGGGTCTTCCTTCCCTAGTGCTAACAGTCCCTGGGTTCCCCTAGTGAAAGGCCCAGGGAAGCAGGGAATGCTGATTTTCCTTCCACACCTCCCCATCTCCTGGTCTGCACCCTCTCCCTTGCTCCTCTCCTTCAGCTGATAGCCTCATCACTTGTCCTGCTCCAGATCTTTGACCTCCTGGTGTTATTTGTAATTTGTGGACAAAGACATGTTAAAAGAATGCTCCTCAGGGTGGAATGCTTCAGGAAGCCAGAGGGAAGACCTGAGGGTAGAGTTCACTAGGAAGGGCTGTGTGTCCTGAGCCTGAAAGAAGTTTCTCTAGGTGCTGGGTGTATGCTCTAGAAGGTGCAAAGGGTAATGCTACTTTTGTCAGCCACAGAGAAGCCCCAGGTTGGTGGGAAGAGGGGACTTAGCCTTGTACAGGCAACATGGGAAACTCAGAAGGTCCCACCCAGGAGAGGGTGGGGAACTGGGGAGCAGTTTATTTGCACCAAGCCCTATGGAAAAAGAAACAAAGCCACCTCACATCCTATCAGGACAGAGACAACACTATCCAAAGTGCCCAGTATTGGGGCATGGGACTCCTGTCAAGGCTCTCAGTGCAGAGGAGGGAGGTGTCTCAGCATGAGATGGAGATCAGGCTGGGAATCTGAGATAACAGCACATACCAGCATTGAGTCCTTAAGAATCTGGGACTGAACCAAGCTCCAGGCCCTGCTGGGAGGGGAGAGGGACCCCTAGCCGCACTGCCTGAGGTTGTGGGAGCATCAGATAGTTGGGCAACCTGCTGAGTGCCAGATCCTTTTTCATGTGTGGTGAGCCCTCAAAACAAGGCTGTGCCATGGGCATCATAATCCCAATTCACAGGTTTGGAAGCAGTTTCAGAGGAATTAGGAGACTAGCCCAGTCTCTACACAGAGGCAGATTTAAACCTGGATTGGTTCAGTTCCAAATTTCACCCTTGCCCCACTATTCCACAGACTCTCCCGTGGAGGAGAGCCAACATTTCTCAGGTTATTCCCTCCTCCACTTCTTACTAGTGGGATAAGAGAGAGAGTGGTTCAAGGTGAAACCCAGCTGGCTCCTGTGACCCAAAGCACAGTCAATGGTCATGGTCAATAATCCTTCCTGGGGTCTGCAGCCCCCGTCTCACTCTTATATGGTATCATAGAAATTAATCCAACCACCTAAGTGGGTTTTCCAGATATATGAAGCTCACCCCTTTACAATATAAAACTTTTAAAACTCATTTTGGAAGGAAATCATTCTAAACAGTCTTCAGCACATCTGCAATAGAACACAAATTTTTCCAGATGGCTGAGGATCATTCATAGAAACCAATGGCTTCTCTATAACAATGTTTTCAGAAGCTGTAACAGTGTCAGGGAAGCTGTTTGCCTTTTTGCCAAAATGCTCTTAGATGACTTTTAAAAAAAATTTTTTTTTCAACGTTTATTTATTTTTGGGACAGAGAGAGACAGAGCATGAATGGGGGAGGGGCAGAGAGAGAGGGAGACACAGAATCGGAAACAGGCTCCAGGCTCTGAGCCATCAGCCCAGAGCCCGACGCGGGGCTCGAACTCACGGACCGCGAGATCGTGACCTGGCTGAAGTCGGACGCTTAACCGACTGCGCCACCCAGGCGCCCCTTAGATGACTTTTTAAATGCTTATGACACCTTTAAAGTATTTTGTGGTGTTGTTGCCCTTGCTACTGGGTGATCAGGGGTCACTTGCTACTCTAATGTTCTGTAATTTCCTGTAATGAGTTATAGGAACACATAGACACATACTGAAATTGTAAATAAGGACAAGGGAAGCTGTGATTGAAGCCTGGAGAGTCTATCCAATGAGTAAAGTATGTAAGTACTGTAGTTGCTCAGGGGTCCCTTCTGCTCCCCCTAGACCCTAAACGTTGCCCCGTAGTTCATCTCCGGTCAGTGAAGTGTTACTGCACATTAGTCCATGATTACTATTTGTCTCTTCCGTTGGAGGAGTCCCCTGAAGATTACAATACAGACTGTTCCAAATAATAGAAGACAGTTGGAATATTTAAGACAAAGAAGGCAGCAAGGCAGATGAAAAACAGTCTTTGGCGTTGGAAGAACCAGGGTGGGAATCCTGGTGTCCCCATTTTCCAGCTGATGATTGATTTGGGGACAGGCTACCCCCCTACCACTCTAAGCCTTCAGGTCATGAGAATGACAGGAGATAATGCAGGAAGCTGCTTCACACAGCACCTGGCAAACATGGGGTGAGGAGGAGCCAGAAAATCAGAAGGTATGTTTGGGTGCTTGCAGCGTCGGGAAGAAAGATAAGAGCCGATCTGAAGGGAAAGGGCCTTTCCACCCGAAAAAGGATCTGGCACTCAGACAGGGAAAAGGAAGCTGGCAGAAAAGGAGCAGTAAAGGAGAGGTGCCATGCTGGCTTCCCACAAAGACGCAGACATCATCGTGTAGCCCAGGAGGCCTGGTGGTGCCCTGGAGAGTGTGGAGAGGGGGCTGGCACTTGGGACTGGGAACTTCTAGAGGGCTAAGCTCAACCTGTGTACTAACACCAGGTTGGTGGGCCTGGCAGGGAGGGAGAGAAGGGGAGCCCACATGGTTCGCATCCACCTAAACGTAGTGACAGAATGAAGCTGCCCAAACAAGGCAGCCATCTCCCCTTCCTTAGAGCCCCCATCTGCCTAGGGGCCCAGCTGGGAAGTGGCTACTCTGGTGTGTCTTAACCCAGAAGGGGTGGTATGGGAAAGGAGAGGGTGATGGGGAAGCTTGGTGCCAGGGTGACCGGTGTCTTTTGGTTTCTGCCTCCAGGCCCTCCATTTAGCCACTGAGCAGCCACTCTGAGCTGGACACTGGGCTGGGAGGCTGAGAGTACACAAATGACGCACAGTCCTGGTTCCTGGACTCCCAGTCCCTGGGCCCTTGCCTCTGGCCATCCTCCACTTCCCTACCCACTGACCCCTCAGCCCACTTCTCTGAACGCCTGTCTCTTTTGCTCCTCTGACTCCAGTCTGTTCAGGTCTTAGCCAGACTCCGCAGTGTGTGTGCTCCCAGAGGGAAGCCACACAAAGGAAGGGGGGGGGGGGTGGGCAGAAAGGAGGGAATCCCGCTGACATCACTGCTCATTAGCATGTGTGACCTCATCAGGGGGCGGGACAACTTCCCCAGGTGTTGGGGGGGGGAATGGGGGTGGTATTTAAGGGAAAAGCTGACAGTGCTGCTGAGTGAGGGAGCGGGGACTGCAAGCGGCTGGGCTGCACACGCACACGGATGCACACGGACCTCGACACGGACATGGACACAGACACAGAAACCACAGCACTCTGCCCCTCCGGCAGCCACCAGGCCTCCCCCCCCGGGACGCCCATACCAGGTGAGGGCTGAGCTGGGCAGGTTTCCAGCAGAAACCACGGGGGGTGGGAGCTGAAGCCCTGGTGGGGAGGTCAGAACTGGCGGCCGACGGAGCTTGAACCCAAACAGCAACTCGGGAAGTGGAGAAGCCTCCCGCTCACACCAGGACTGGGGCTGGGCTGGGCTGGGGGCTGCGGAGTGCTGCCTAAACACCCCCACCCCCCCATCACTCCGGGGCTTCGCTGGGGAAACTGGTGCTTAGCCCCTAGGTCAGCCTCATTCCCATGAGGCTGGGATGGGCAGGAGGGATGGGGGAAAGGAAAGGGGCAGCCCACAAGCCTGGGAATCACAGGCTGGGGGCTACCCTGGGGACCTGTTGTAAGGGTTTCACTGGCTCGAGGAGGCCCTGGCTGCCAGCCAAGTATTGATCCTGGGCTATTTCCAGCCTCTCTCCATCCCCCTTTGTTGTGTCTGTCGTTCTTCCTCCAGTTACCCTGACCCATGCATTGTCACTCTCCCTCTCGCTCATGCTCCCGCTCTCTCGCTCTCTCCCTCCCTCCCTCTACCTCATCATGAACACAAGATTCTCTGGAACTCACGGGAAGGTCAGAGATGCAGAAGGGTTCTCACACACAGCCATGCACCAGGAGTGCTCACTTAGAGGGCCATTTGAAGAAGCGAAGAGGCGGCAATTCTCACACACCGTGGAGGGGGACCCAATGCACACATTGTAATGAGCAAAGGCCCTTCCCTGGGCATAGGCTCCCCACAAAGTTTTTGACTCTACCAGTACCCACCCCCCAGAACCTGGGCAGCAGCTTCAGCTTCTCATCCCCTGTGCCCCTCCCCAGTGTGGGGACAACCAGTGCGGAAGCAGTGGAAGGCAGGGCCTCTTGGTGGAAACAGGGGCAGCCCTCAGGGCCAGAGTCCTAGTCTGGGGGTGTGCCTGTGTGTCAGTGTGAAGAGTGAGTGGGTGTGCGAGCCTGCGCACAGGTGCCTCCCCTGCATGGGGCATGTTTTAAACAGGTTGTGGCTGGAACCACACTGGCTAAGCCTTCAGCTCAGCTCCTCAGAGCCCCACCAGTTCAGGCTTCTGAGGGAATTCAGTGTAAGAAGTCAGACCAAAGATTCTCAGCTCCTTCTGGGGCATGGTCATCACCTGGGCCTCTGAAGCCAGAGCAGCCAGGATTGAGCCCTCTGCAGATGGCCAGGCATACCTTCACTCATAGCTTCTTTCTCTTTGCCTACCCCCCACCTCAGAAACAGATGCCACACTGTTGAAGAAGCCAGAGAAGCTGTTGGCAGGGTTGGACCGGGGTGGCCCACCACCAGCCCCAGGGGCACCCAGACGAAGAGGCAGTATGCCTGTTCCCTACAAGCACCAGCTGCGGCGTGCCCAAGCTATAGATGAACTTGACTGGCCACCTCAAGCCTCATCCTCTGGCTCCTCTGACTCCTTGGGCTCAGGGGAGGCAGCCCCCACCGAACAAGATGGCATCTTCAAGGTCATGCTGGTAGGGGAGAGCGGCGTGGGCAAGAGCACCCTAGCAGGCACTTTCGGCGGTCTCCAGGGAGATGGTGCTCATGAGCCAGAGAACCCAGGTATTTGGAGGGGAAACCCTGAAAGGGTCAAAGGCACCTGCGGACCCCTAGTCAGGGATGCAAGAGGCATGAGCAGCCCCCAGAGGCCAAAACCTAAGAGAAGTTACTGCAATGCTTTCTGTGGCAACCTCCCTGGAGGGGGTCCCTGGTGCTGGGATCTGAGGCGTCCCTGGTTACCAGGTCTCATGAGTGTTGGGGAGCCTCCTGATGGGCTCTATTCCCTGTCCTTATTTCCCAACAGAGGATACCTATGAAAGACGCATCATGGTGGATAAGGAGGAAGTGACTCTAATTGTTTATGACATCTGGGAACAGGTAAGAACTAAGACAGGGCTGTAAGCAGGCAATGAAACCTAGGAGAGCTGGGGAGAGGCAAAGTCTGGCTGAAGGTGGGTGGCTCTGTAGGCCCTGGTTTTAATATGTACTGGACATATGACCTTTCATATGTGTCATCCAGAGAGCAAAGGCCCACATCAATTGTGCATACCATGGCACTGAGAGCCGCTGTCTTTCCAGGATCTTCTGACCCTGAGGAAAGTTAGGATCTGAATTTGACAAACCCTGAAGCTGCAAGCCAGGCTACACACCCTGAAATTGACCCCATCCATACGTGTTTCAGCCTGGAAGAGTCTTACCTGATGGGACAAGAGCTCAGGGCTCTGGAATATCAGGGAAGGGAAATAAGTGAGGATTTATGAATATTTGGACAAAAATGGTTACCACATAGAAATGAGAGGCCAGATTACATACAGCTGAAGAGCATTCATTTTTAAGTTAAGAGCTTAAGCATATGAAAGTAGGATGGGCTACCCTAGCCTAGGACCCTATCTCCCCAATTCTTCCATGCGGGGCTCACATTACAAACTACTTTCTCCTCCACAACACACTCTAGGGATGGAGATTATGCCATTAACTAGCTCTGCTGTCCTAAGCAGGTGGCTTCTCCCTCACATCCAGATTCCTCATCCTTGAGATGTAGGTGGGGAACAGGTTCTCCCATGCCTCCAGCCCTGACATCCCACCACTCTCTGCCCACATGCAGGGGGATGCAGGGGGCTGGCTGCGGGACCACTGCCTTCAGACCGGGGATGCCTTTCTCATCGTCTTCTCAGTCACCGACCGACGAAGCTTCTCCAAAGTTCCAGAGACCCTACTTCGGCTCCGGGCTGAGAGGCCCCACCACGACCTCCCTGTCATCCTTGTTGGAAACAAGAGCGACCTAGCCCGCTCGCGGGAGGTCTCACTGGAGGGTGAGTATCCTGGACCTAATTAACACTTGCAATCTCAGGGGAGATTCCAAGTGACCTCTTCACAAGGACCTTCTACCCTTCCAGGACAGGCTAAGGGCAGACTCCCAATACCCATGTCTAGCGCCAGAGAACCCCTTCTCTTCACTCCTCACCTCTTCGCCAAGGCCCCTTTATCTCCTTCCCTCGGCACCACCAAGACCCTCCACCTGATCCTTGCCTGTTCTCAGTTGCAAGAGATTCACCTGCCAGGACCCCTTTGTACTGCACAGCGGGCATCTCCCCAGGCCCACCCTTGCCTGGCCCCGGCCCCCCGGGCCCAGTGTAGCCCGCGGGCTCCTCAACCTGTCCCTTCCTGCAGAGGGCCGCCACCTGGCAGGGACACTGAGCTGCAAGCACATCGAGACGTCGGCGGCGCTGCACCACAACACGCGGGAGCTCTTCGAGGGCGCGGTGCGCCAGATCCGGCTGCGGCGGGGCCGGAGCCGTGCCGGGGGCCCGCGGCCCGAGTGG